AGGCCTGGAGGAACGTTGTCCATGGAGTCGGACATGACTTTGCAACTAACAACAACATCCCTAATATGCTGATGATATCTAGTGATTTCTTTTGATCCCAGGCTGGCCAAGTGAGTTATTCCCAGAATTCTCAATCGGTAAGTACATGTGTCCTACAGAGGTGGGTTCCTACCAGTTTGCATCTATTCGGTAGAACCGGTTCGTCAAATCTACTGAACCGGTTAGAAGAGGTTCCACCAGTGGACCCGGAAATTAGGCTACAACTACAGAAGAGGTTCCAAAAATTTTTGAAACCCACCACTGCTCTGGTAGGGTGAAAATGGCTTCCCTCATGCTCCAGACACCATTTCCGGACTTCTGGAACTTCCAGGAGGCCCATTTTTAACCCCCCAGAGCCTCCACGTGGGCCCTCCATTTACCTGGCATCCAAAACAGACCAGGTGGAGATTCCTGGGAGGGGCGGAGCTGGGCGGAAGAGACCAGCCAATCCTTACAACTACTGGTTCAACGAACCAGATGTAAAGTTAGCATGCAATTTGCCCGAACCGGTCCGAATCGACTAAATCCCACCCCTGGACTGAACCTTGTTTTCCTGGAATAATTAAATACAGATAGAGAGTTTTATCTTGTCAGTGAACATTAAATATAGTCCTCAACCTACAACAGTTCATTTAGTGACCACTCAAAGTTACAATGGCATTGAGAAAACCTGACTTATGACCCTTTTTTACACTTATGACTTATTGATTGCAGCATCTCTAGGATCACATGATCAAAATTCAGATGCTTGGCAACTGATTCATATTTATGCTGGTTGCATTGTTCACCTTTTGCGACCTTCTGACAAGCAAAGTCAATGTGGAAACCAGATTCACTTAGCCACCATGTCATTAACTTAACAACTGTAGTGATTCATGTAACTGTGGCAAGAAATGTTGTAAAATGGGGCTACATTCACTTAACAAATGTCTCCCTTAATGGTGCGAACTGGCTGAATCCCACCACTTAACTCCAGCCATTAATTCAAGTTATTGAGGAGCCATATAATATTGATATCAGTACCAAATGCTCTTTTTAAAGTCTTTCACACTATCCATCTCCCAGAAGTGATGAGTGGTAATTTAAAACTTTACTAATTAGATTTTCCCGAGTGTATGGTTTCAAACAGCTCTTAACAACCATTTGTTTGTTATTTGTGTTTGAACTTCTCTTAGTTACCTTCCTTAGGAATCCATGCTCACTGCAGGAAAGTTGAAACTCAAAGGAAGCTGGAATTTCTTGTGATTAAAGAAACTCTTCCCCAAGATTCAAAACATTAACCTGGCTTTGAAGTCCAGAAACCTCAAATGACCTTTTGCTGAACCCATCTTGAATTTTGAACTGTTAGAAGGGGGGAAAACTCTATGAAAATTTGTAATGTATGTTTGAAGGAATCACACACACAAAGTAACTCTGCCCTCTGGTGGAATTATTCAAGATGTAATATTTTATGTATCTGAATAAAAATCCAAGATCTTTCCAGTTAGGTAAAGAATCTGATCTGGCTACATTGAGCTTTTGTTATAGCCATAATTAGATAGTGCAGTTATTTCAGGTGTACACATATAACAACTGAATTCTAACAATTCATGGTTAGTGGGGGGAAAAGCCACTATATATTTTTCAGTCAATTTTAACTTGCAGGGGGCACTGTTCATTTGTTGCCTTCACTTGAGTTCTTCTCATGTTACGAATGAAATGTTTGTTGGCTTTTTTTCAACTGTATACTTAGGCTGAATTTTTTAATAATACTTTTGTTGAGTTTTAAAACACTGGAGCTTCATTTAAAATAATCTCAACTATTTTTAGTACAATATTGTAATGCTTTTTTATAGGCATATGATACATGTTGTATGTGAGCACATAAAATTTCACACTGTATCTGAAAGATGATAGAATTAAATTATTCTCCTTACCTAAATATGAGGTAAAGATAGTCCTTGACTTACAATAGTTTGTTTAATGATCATTCAAAGTTACACCACCACTGAAAAACAACACTTATGACCGTTTTTCAGTTATAACCTGTGCAGCATCCCCATCATCATGTGATCAAAATTCAGATGCTTCGCAACTTGGTTCATATTTATGACCGTTGCTGTGTCCCAAAATCATGTGATCATCTTTTGCAAACTTCTGACAAGCAAAGTCAATGGAAAAGCCAGATTCACTTAACAACTGGGTTACTAACGTATCAGCTGCAGTGATTCACTTGACAACTGTGGCAAGAAAGATTGTAAAATGGGGCAAAACTCATTTAACAAATGTCCCACTTAACAGAAATTTGGGGCTCAATTGTGGTCATAAGTATATTTATATATCTTTAAAAATACATGAGAGAACTGCAGCTATGTTGTATTCTACAGCATGGAAACTGATAGAACAATAAAATATCATGGTTTTCTACTTCAGTTTTCCTATTCACTGTAAAAAAAGGTGAAATTATAAATGACTCTTCTTGTCCTAAAAGGCTTAATTACAGCCATACTATATGGACAAAAAAAGGAAAAATAATCCATGCTGGTGAAAGATTGCAGAATTATTAACAATTAATACTTATAGTAGGGTAGCATTTGCTCACTATATAATAAAGCAGCATTTAACAATATAAAATTGTCCTTGTTATCTAGTCGGAAATGGCAGTAAACCCTAAAAGTTATCCCATTTGGGCAAAAAGATCAGCAGATGCAAATAAAAATAGAAATGCTTCCATCATGAAATCTAACTTACCATATAAAATATAAGAATACTTTAAACTCTTTCAATTTTTATTTTCAACCTGCATTTAGAATTGCATTATCTGTCTGCCGATGGAATGGATAAATAATTGCAAGTTGTGTCTCTTTGAAATATTCTATTTCCCTGCAAATAAGACCTCCCCGGATAATAAGCCCAATCAGGCTTTGGGGCGCATGCACTAAAATAAGTCCTCCCTGAAAATATTGCAACACAGCAGCAGCCATGAGGTGACCTCACTCGCTGCCTCCTGCACCTCAAAAATAATAAGACCTCCCCAAAAATAAGGCCAAGTGCTTATTTCGAGGGTCAAAAGAAAATAAAACCCTGTCTTATTTTCAGGGAAACACGGTATTCCCATGGAATTTACTGGTAATTTCATTTTCCAGAGGCTTGAAGGCAGTAACTCCAAAGCAGATGAAGGGAAAGGCCGGTGGGAGAGAGATGAAGATAATTTTACTTCACAATAAAACTATTTCATAAAGTTGGATGCAGCCCACTGGATATATGTCTATATTATAACTGATTGATAAGGAAATCCTGTACAAAAGAGTCAGAGAACCCTGTAATAAGCATGATGACCTAAAACAAGTTAGAATGACCACTAGATACTAGCTGAAACAAAGGATTCATCTTATCTCCAACAGTTTGTTTCAGCTTTCATTTTTATGACTTTCGTCCTTGTTTTGAGTGAAACCAGATAAAAATATACAGGAAATCCTCGATTTACAGCCATTCATTTCAAGACTGTTTGAAATTACAATGGCACTGAAAAATGTGACTTATGACCATTTGTCACACTTACGACTGTTACAGCATCTCCGTGGTCATGTGAACAAAATTCAGGTGCAGTGATTCACCTAACTATGGCAAAAAAACCAAGGTTGTAAAATGAGACAAAACTCACTTCACAACTGCCTTACTTAGCCACAAAAATTGGGGGTTCAGTTGTGGTTGTAAGTCGAGGACTACCATAATTCTGGAAATAAACAAATGTTGCTAGCTTAGGTTTTTCGCTCATCATGGAAAAAATAGTTTTGTTTTGCAGGCCCAGAGTCTTCTTTTCATGTCAGCAACTCTAACAGTGAGATGAATGCTGTTCAGATGTGGCTCCTGAGATTTCAGCAGCACTTCTGAACTAGTGACCGTAGCTCCTCTTAAGTAAATATGCACTGACGGGCATGAACTTCTTAAAGACAAATCACCCAAATAAAGCTTTGTGCTGATGGCAACTTGCACAGTTGTTCTAACCAAATTCTTTCTTTCTTCTCCTTGAAGACATGACTATGGATGAAGTCCGGGAATTTGAACGAGCAACTCAGGAAGCCACCAACAAGAAAATTGGAATCTTCCCTCCTGTGATATCCATCTCGAATATCTCCCTTCCCTCTTCGATCCGCAGTGGTCCTTCTAGTGCTCCATCTACACCTCTGTCCACAGACGCACCGGAATTCCTAGCGGTTCCCAAAGATCGTCCACGGAAAAAGTCTGCCCCAGAAACTCTCACGCTGCCAGATCCAGATAAAAATGCTCTCTAAACCCAGCATGGCTTTTTTTCCCTTATGACAAGCTATGACTGACAGAATATCATTTGCAAAGTTTCATGGTAATTGTTTTGATTTAAACAAATATTGATCTGGAATCATGCGTTTCCCATTCCCCCATTCCCTTAGGCTTCCCCTGAAACTAGTTAGCTAAATGCATGCAAGGTTCATGTGCTCTGATTCCCAAACTAAAGCTCTAAGCCATATGACAAATGTTGCTGTCAACCCAGAATGAAGTATCTTGTAAAAAAAAAAAAAAAAAGTAAAAGCAGTCTCTTGTAGTGATGGCTGCAAGCAGAAGATCTAAAATTGCAGTGTTGGTGACTGGAGAGGGTTACAGGGATTTCATGAAGCTGGCGAGGACATCCAGAGAGAATGAGGTTCTCCTTAGCTACATTTCTCATTTCAAGCCATTATATCTCCATTTCTGAAATCCTTTTTTACTCTCAGGCCGAATGCACCTTAAAGTAAACCTTGGAACTGCTGATTCACTGATCAACACTTGAATACTAATAGATTCAGATTCCTTTTTACAGATTACAACTCAGGATTTGGGTGTAGCTAATGCACACTTTAAGCTCTTCAAAAATTAAAGAACCAACGTGCTCTAGCTTTGTCTTAAATTATAATCATTTCAAGATCCTATTTGTATCTTGCACAAAAATTTGTAACTCCTTTTTATTCTGTGCTGTTGTAAAACTTTTCTGTGTTGGTTTTGGGGAACTGGGACCTTTTGAAGGAAGAAAAATGGAAACGCAAACAAATAAAATAGGCTCCAAAGTCGAAATGGAACAAATATATTCCAAGAAACAATGCTATTATTAATTCATAATTCAATTCAGGTCTTCTGAGTTCCTATGAAATTAATGAAAGTCAAGATTGAAAACCCCATTAAAAAGTCAGCCCATTTTTTGCAACATTGTGAGCAGTCATTCATCTATTCAACAACTTGAAGTTTTGCTGAGGGTGTTTATGCTGGCCTGTTAAAAGAAAAGCAACAGATTGCAGCATAAAATATGTTAGGCTTACTGTGCAGATTCTTTCTTTCATTTTAAAAATTGTGTTTGTGTGTACGTGCGTGCACACACGCACGTACAGGGTTTTTAGAATGAAATGCACATACAAGATTTTTAGAATCTTGCATATGCATATATAAATATATGAAATAGTGAATACATTGTAAGTCTGAGCCATGAATAAAATTAAGAAAGAAAACTTGGAGAGATCCAAACAATTTTTTGAAAAGATATGTCTACCAGTAAGTCTAGTATATCATGCTCAAGAGAGTGAGAATGAGTACTTTGTCCAAAAGAGGTACTTTTTTTCAATTATGCTCATCATTATTACTTCCTTTGAATACAGGTAGTCCTTGACTTCCAACCAGTTTCTTAGTGATTGTTCAGGGTTAGGACAGACCATCTTGAGGAACTTAACTTGACTCCAAGTTCCAACAGCTACCCCCTCCCTCCCCACCACCACTACTGTGGTCACATGACAGCATTTCAGCCATTCAGCAACCAGCCTGCATGTATGGCTGTTTGTAGCATTCCATATCCCATACCATGTTTTATTACATTTTTTGCCAAAAAGTGTCATTTGCTTCTGTTTTTTAGCAAAACCTACCCATAGGAAACCATTGGTTTGCTTAACAACCACCGGTCATAAAATCAGGTTAGTCATGTGGGTGACCACTACACAACTGTCACAATTTATGACCATAACGGGCAGCTCCATTACAGTTGTAAGTCAAGGACTACCTGTGCAGGCAGCTGAATTCAAAAGGAAAAGGAAAACTGCTATAGTTGACAACTTGTTAAGAAACCTTCGTCTAGACTTTGTTTAAGAGCAAAACAGTTAATGTGGGAATCTTCTGACAGAAACAAAACAACCTGCCAGCTTCCTGAGCTCCTTCAATTGTATTCTTTTCCAACAATGAAAATAGAAATGTTTTTTTTTTGGCTTTTGGCACCCCAGAAAGCGATATTAGTTGCACCCAGCCACATAGTTTGGAGAGACAAAATATTGGCCTGCTAATTCCATCACCCTTCAGTCTCAGGAATTAAAGATACTTCTCCATATACAATTTAGGACACTTGGCATCTGTTCCTTTCCTTACAATTCATTCAGAGTCTAATTTAGTAAATGAAGTCAGTAGTTAGCCACATCTAAAGTAGAATCATTTGTGAAAGTGTTATAAACATATAGCATTAGTACAAGGGAAATATAAAAAATATATATCCAGACCTCAGGGGGGATAAATATAACTTTGAATAATAAAAAAAATCTAGTAAGCACGGCAGCATGAATTTTCATATGAAAAATTGTAGCAGACTTAAATCTCCAATTAACTCTCAAGTGACTTCTTACTTAAATTGTACATACCAAGAGAACTGTTGTTTAGGTTTTAGTCATAAAAAGGTAGAGTGGGAGAATAGAATGCACTATGTGCATTTGAAAACTCAAAATATGCAGTAGCTCTAATTCTGTATTTAATCCCTCCCCCAATCATTTAGCTTCATGCCTTTTCTTTGTTATTACTCAAAATAACCTTTTTCTTGCTCAGCATTCTGAAGTTCTGTGCGACACTTGTTAATACCTGTTTTCATTATTATTATTACATTTCTATACATACAGTTTGAGTTTGTGGCTTTAAGTTAGTAGAAAATTATGACAATTTATTTAATTTTAAGCCAAATGTTGCTCTCCCTGTATCTGCTGTTAGAATCTTGCACGGATTGATAAGCCAAGACATCAAAATCATTGTGCTGATTTATATTAACTGTCACTTCTTCCTCAATACTTTGGCTTGGGAATAAGATGCTCTCAATGCTGCAGCAAGAATTATTTGTTCAACTTGATGTGCTATCCAAATTGGGTGCTTAATTAATAGACAACATTTGATTCTTCTGCATGTCTAAATGATGGCTGACACAATCCATGTGTCAATCAGCCTACTCTTTGCTGTTCCTATATTTCCAGGAATTAGCAAAAATCAAATGGATGTTTTTTTCAGCGTACACTCTCAGGCACCTATGCTTTTCACAAATTATTTTACGCTCTTTTGTCACATTCTGTTTTCCTTCCATAGATTTTGTCACTAAGGTAGACAATTATCCCATTTACCTTTCTTTCTTGATTTTTGTCATCTGCTTTAAAAAAAAACATATTTCTAACACAAGAATAATAATTAAATTAAATTTCTAGCATATTTTTGGTTGCACTAATGTGTCTTTTCCATGGGGAAAAAAGTTTGGCTGAGCTGTATTGTTGACTTGTCTGATTTATTTTGTACAGAATCTGCTGTATATTTTTAGCTATCTGTTTTTTGTGAGATCAGACCTGTGGATGTTTATCTATTTGTTTTGTGGAACAAAGTGGCACTTTCAATAAAGTCTGGTGCAGCAAAGCAAACTGAAGCCAGACTGGGCTTTTGAACCTTAGGCCTGTTCCCCTTTTTCAATGAGAACATTTGATCATTGCTAAGAAGAGGAAGGAGGACTATGTTCTGAAAATGAATATACTGCTGGCTTTAAATTAACCTTTCCTATCCAAAAAAGGGGCTCCTGAAATTATCTGTTTCAAGACCCATCTTGGACCTCCTAAGCAAAAGAAAAAAAGCTTTTTTAAAGTTTATTCATGAGAGTCTCAAGAAGGTTGCTTAAACTTTGTTGTTGAAAACTCTGGTGTATTTTCATCAGTAATGCAAACAAATCTTTAAAAATCCATGTACAAGAAATGTTCATGGGGTTATATTTGCTAAGAAAGTTTGCAACAAAAGTTGTTAAATTGCCATAAAATAAATTTGAGTCTAGCTGTTTTTCACATATCAGTGTACATACTGCAATTGATGTACGTTTAGATCAATTATTTCATTTGAATGAATAGAAACAGTCTAATCAATTTTTAGGTAGAATCTTCACAAGGTTGTTTTTCTGGGGAAAATAGGAGAAGGAAGGAGTATTAGGTATGTTTGCCACCTTGAATTATTCATAAAAGGTGGGATAATAAATAAATCAAGTTACTGTTAATGAGCCCACCTGGAATGGAATTGTCTAGAATAGAAATGCTCTGGGCAATTTTTCTTACTGCAGATTTCTGTTTCATTGGCAATGTTTATTTTTTTAATGAAACTTTTTAAAATTTTGTTAATAGAAATAAAAATTGCTCTGCTGTTTTTATGTGAATGTGTGTCTTTAATCACACATAGGGTTGGATCCTGAGGTTCTTCTCTATGAGCGGAAGAAGTCAAAACAAGCTGACCAAATACCTCAGTTAGCCTTCCCAATGCTTAGCTGAGGGCCGATAGTCAAGCAAAATTCCTCTCATGCAATTTTGGGTTGGGATTTGCTGCACTGGAACTTTAGAACATGGCTGTTGTTTAAAAGACATCCAATGTATGTACTTCATGGTAGTTAAATCATAAGATGGGAAGGATTCATGAACTTGTCATTAGGAACTCATTAATTACCATCCTTCAGTGTTCTGTTTTCATAAAGGCTTGAAGCTAAACTAATTGTGGGGAAAGGTCTTTTTGTTTGGACGGCATCATCTTACAATTACAATTGACTATGGGTTATTTTAAAATGTTCCTTCTCGAAATAAGTTTTTTGTTTTATTTCTGTGACAATCTTTGTGACTGAGTGTTGTGTATAGTAGTGAGGTTTCTGAGGGTTTTTTGTTTTTTTGTTTGTTTTTGGTGATAAAGGTTAGTGTAATGAAGGAAGGACCAAATGCTCCAAGTTACACAATACAAGACGTGAATAAAAGAGTCAGTCTCATGGTTTCCATACGTACATAATTGTTGCTTTTTCAGTTATTTATTATTGTTTGTAAAACTGACTTTTCTTACATTCTGTTGTAAATAAACTACAAGCAATCTTCTTTCCAAGACTGCCTTGCTTCATTTCTGAATTCCTGTAATGGCAAAAGGCTCATCTTGCTATATTTAAGGTGTTACCTCTTCAGCTCTAATCCATGAGGTCAAAATATCTAGGATAATACAAAATGAATCCAACATTAGAACGTTCTCTGGTGGAAAAAGGGTGAGTCTTCGAATGATGGATAAGAAGATAGTAAAAAATTTCTAGTGGAAAACATGGTGGACTTTTGATGCCAAACCAATGAATTGTTTTTGAATACATCAGAAGACCAACAAATGCACAACCTTTTGTCAAGGGTTTACTGGAATGAGTACTATATCAGTTATAAATAAATAGCTTCATCAGATGTATGATGAAATGAATTTGGATCAGGTCACATCAGTTTTTAAGGTACAACAAGATGCTTTTTGTTTGTGTAAACAATTCATGTAATGGAAGTGTTGGAGTAGGCCTAGAGAGAGCCAGGCTGAAGCTCATTCTCAACTGTGGAAGCTCCCTGAGAGAATTTGGTCACCCACTCTCAACCCAATCTACACATAGCATTGCTGGTTTTGGAGAAAATATGGGGAGGGAAATGCCATGTATGGCTTTTTCTTTCTTTCTTTCTTTCTTTCTTTCTTTCTTTCTTTCTTTCTTTCTTTCTTTCTTTCTTATTATTTTTGAAAAATATAATATTTATACATTTATAAAATAAAATAAAGTAATTCCCATGTCATTACAGTTATATGATAGCAGTTGCCAAAATGTGACATTCTGAATGCAAGATCTAGGCAATTGGGGAACCTACCTATAATGTTCCCTATGCATAAAATGTACAATTAATGGGATTTAGAGATGAAGGTGTGGGGTTCATTCTCAGTTAATTTAGTCAGTTAAGGCTAAAGTCATAAAGGATTACTTTGCAGGGTGACTTGTTTCAGTTTCATTCATAATGTAAATCAAATGATTGAGAATGATAATTTTAGATATGTTGAGTGAACTGTATAAGCAATGATCTTATGCTAAGTAAGACCTTTGACCACTCTGTTATTGAGCAGTCCAGAAATAAGGATCTTTTCACTAAAAGTTTTTAGTGTATTTTTAATTTAAAATGAAAAAGCCTGAACTTGGAATTTTCTGCATAGAAGGAATGTGCTGGGCCACTGCACTCTGCTGTTTATGTCAGGAAATCCTTTTTTGTGGTTTATAATTTACAGCCTCTTTCCTCCAGTTTGTTCTTTCCCCACTCTCCACCCGGCATAAAATACACTGTTTACATAAAGGTTTGTGCTACCCTGTTTAAACTGACTGAAGCTGATGATATTATGAAAGCCACTTATTATCCTCATCAATGCCTAGCATGTAGCTTTGCAACTGTAGTAATGTTAATATCTTACTTTGGGACCATGTTCATAGTAATTAAAACCACAGCTCTTTAAGAGTTTTAAAAAAAATAGCTAGTCAATTTAAAATAGCAGTAACAGGCAGCAGCAATATGGAAGAGATCCAAAGGAAACCACTCATCACAATCTAACAAGATTATCGTTTTTTAAAAAAAAACTCTTTATGGTAAAAAAATAAAGGAGCCATCTAGACTTCTGGATATCAACAAGGTGGTCCTGTTCCAAATCCTACAACTTTACATCTAGAACCTTCAGAGAGAATGGAGCTTCATCCAGAACAGGCTGGATCTATTTCTAGCTCAGTGTTCCAGTGGTGGGTTTCAAAAATTTTCACTACTGGTTCTGTGGGCGTGGCTTGGTGGGCATGGCATGGATTGGTGGGTGTGGCTTGTTAGGTGTGGCAGGAGAAGGATTCTATAAAATCCCCATTTCCTCCCTCCAGGGGAAGGTTACTGCAAAATCCCCATCCCCTCCCATATCAGCTGGGACTCGGGAGGCAGAGAATAGATGGGGGCGGGGCCAGTCAGAGATGATATTTACTGGTTCTCCGAACTACTCAGAATTTCCCCTACCGGTTCTCCAGAACTGTTCAGAACCTGCTGAATACCAGCTCTGCAGTGTCCCTGTTGTTGAAATACACCTCTGTTTAAACTTAGGCAAAACTAGGATGATAAAACTAGACATTTACTTCCCTGTTTCAAATAAACAAAGAAGACTGTGTAACTTTTACACTGAGAGTTGATTCTACATGACAGGGACTGCATTCTCTCCTCTGCCTTCATTTCCTTTGTGTCATCTGTTCAGACTTTTTTGATCCATCTAAGTTCAAATAACAGAAGTCAACAAATGGAAACAAAATATGTTGAGATACAATAAATTGGAAAATAATCCACAGAAGAAGTACTGAAGATATTACATATTATCTGTAAAGCAGATTATTTCTGAAATGTGTAGATTTGTTTGAAACCAAAGGAAATTTAAGTGCCAACTAAAATCAGCAATGGTGGCTGTGCATTCTGATAAATTATATAACATAGCACTTAGCAATAGCACTTAGACTTATATACTTGCTTCACAGTGCTTTACAGCCCTCTCTAAGCGGTTTACAGAGACAGCGTATTGCCCCTAATAATCTGAGTCCTCATTTTACTGACCTTGGAAGGGTGGAAGGCTGAGTCAACCTTGAGCTGGTCAGAATCAAACTGCCAAACTGCTGACAGTTGGCAATCAGCAGAATTAGCCTGCAAACTTGCATTCTAACTACTGCAACACCATGGCTCCCAATATAAATATATATGTTGATATTACAATTATGTAATATTTTCATTTATACGAGTATTCTTCTGAACAGATAAAAAAACCTTTGTGATCCATAAGTTACAGCTAGAATACTCATTTGAGATACCTTAAAGCAGGGATCCTCAACCTTTCTGGGTTGGTGGCCCAGAGCGGGGTGGAGCGGGGAAAGAGGAGATGGTTTTATGGGAGGGGAAGGCACATGTGTGTGCATGAGTACCCATTGCTTGTGTAAGTGGGGCCGCGAACTCTCGCATGTATGTGGCCACAACTGCCTGTGATGTTCAAGTGAATGGGGTTGCAAGCGCCCACAATGCGTAAGTGGGCCCCCAAGTACCCCCAATGCTCCTGCAAGTGGGGCCATGAGCCCCTGCAATGCTCGCACATATCAGCCAGCCACTCAGGTGGCTCGGTTGCCAATAGACCACAGCCCACTGCAGGTTGGGGACCCCTGCCTTAAAGCAAGAATTTTGAACAAATTAATTACAGTAGTGGGCCTGCTTTATATACCATAACAGCAACTGCCAAAGTTGCAATCCAATCTTCAGCCAAACTGTGCATTGTATCTGAGAGAAAAAAAGTGCACTCCGTCCCTAAAAAATTATAGTAGCAATTTTATTTGTAAAATCCAAACACTTTAGGATATTAATACAAGTCTGTACTGATTCTAAATAAAATAAGGGATTTGTAATAATGTTTTTTATTTCTTACAACCAAATTTAATCTGAAAATAATTCAGACAAGTATGGCTGATCTTTTCTGAAGATTTTTATCAAATGTTGTAAAACTCATCCATAGTACACCAACAAAATTTATTTGGCATGACTAACCATCTGTATGGCAGTTTGAACAACCGCTAGAAAAGAATTATTAATTCACATGGGGTGAGGGGGACATAATAGATCCCATCTCCATTTCTAAGACCATAGTCTTACCCCAACTTGTTAATACACAAAGGTGGTCCCATCATATGGAAAACTGAGGTAGTCACCTTGGGTTTGCACCAGTGGTGAAATTCATTCTTTTTTTTACTACCAGTTCTCTGGGCATGACTTGGTGGGCATGGTGTGGCTTGGTGGGCGTGGCTTGGTGGGTGTGACAGGGGAAGGATACTGCAAAATCTCCATTCCCTCTCCACTCCTGGGGGAAAGATACTGCAAAATTTCTATTCCCACCCCACTCTGGGGGCAGACAGGTGGCATTTGCTGGTTCTCTGAACTACTCAAAATTTCCACTACCGGCTCTCCAGAACCTGTCAGAAACTGCTGGATTTCACCCCTAGTTTGCACAATTGGGAGATAACTGAAAGGCAAAAAAAAAAAAAAAAGCCACTTCTCTCTAAGCTGCTGATTCCTATCCTGCCTCTGTTTTGTTTGTTCTCAGTCAGTGCTAGTCACTGGACTTCCTACACAACTTGAGGCTGTGATAGAATAAGGTGAAAAAATACTTTAATATCTGTGAGGATTATTTAAGATCATCTTATTCATTGGCTGAGGATATAATGAAGAGATCATGGGGATGAAGGGTAAAACATGTTTTCGAAGCATGATAGTGCAGTTGGGGACATTGTTGAGCTAAAAACCACTTTCAGTTAGTGATATAATAGTAATAGCACTTATGGCACCAGGCTAGAAAGCAGGAGCTTGTGAATTCTAGTCCCACTTTACTCATGAAAGCCAGCTGGATTACCCTGGATCAGTCAATCTCTCAGCACAACTCACCTCACATGATTATAGTTGGGAGGAAAATAGGAGTATTAGGCATGTTAGCTGCCTTGAGTTATTTATAAAAATAATAAAGACAGGATATAAATAAATAAAATAAATAAAAGCATGCATATTGTCTAAAATGAAAATATTTCTTTCACTATTACTTCATCCTGACTTCAGGCTAAGAGCTTTGGAAATATGTTCTTCCTTTCATTACATTTTGAAAATGATTAACTTATTTACATTTCCCTGTCAGCCTCTCTGTTACTGTTGCTGCCAAGTGATCTGCACAACAATATCCAGTTTGACAATGAATAATAATAATCCATGAAGTAGCATTATTAAAAAACAACCCTAGCAGGCAAAAACAGTCTTGGTTGCAATTTAAATGTCAATCACCACATTAATTACTTAAACCTGGGTTCAATTGCAAGTCTCAGCAAGTATTGTATGTAATATGATATGATGTAATAAAGCTGAACCTTTGCACACAGAAGAGTGGGAATTTCTTTTCCTGTCAAGGAACTATAACTATATTACTACTGCCCCTCGATTAGGAAGAATGCCAAAGTCTAAAGGATGCTATTCTTGAATCTTCTAATAGTCTGGAGTCCGGGAAGACAGTGTGTATAGTACACCAAGCATATAAAATAACTATATTAACAGCTGAAATCTTGCATATTTGTTTGCAACCTGGGGAAATAAAACAAGGAACAATGGAATAGTAGCTGGAGCTTCTACTGTTTGGGGCACTTTCACACAAAACAGGATTCTGTGTCAGTTCAAAAGCAGCTTAACAGATGAGTCCATTTATTTTTGGCTTTCAGATATACGATGTATCTGAAAGTGCATTAAAAGCATTTTAAACAAACATATATGGAGTTTATAGACTGTCAGTTTCCCTGCTTATAGGAAATCATGCTTTCAATTCTGGAGCTTTCAAGGATAAGCATGACTTGATGTCTTTGCAATTCCTCACCATAGAAACTACTGAAATTGTTTTGCACACAACAGGGGTGGGTTCCTGTACCAGTTGGTACCAGTTCACTTCGCGCGTGCAAATGCTTGCTTCACACACATCTGTGCGCTGCTCGCACATACGCAGTTGACTGTTAATTGTTCTGCGCATGCGCAGAAACATGCTGGCAACGGCAGAAGAGACCAGGGAACCAGTTCAGGGGTGTGGTCAGCCTGGGTCACTGTCAGTTCTGCGATCCAGGCCAAATCACTGCTACTGGTTTGGCCAAACCGGGCCAAACCAGGAGCACACAACGAGGCAAACAGAAGTTGAAATAAAGTCGGGGATGTAGGTGTAGGGTTAAGGTTCTGACCTAGAAACCAGGAGAATTCTAATCCTGCCTTAGGCATGGAAGTCTGGGCCAGTCACCTTCTCTGCGCCCAGTCCACTTCCCAGGGTTATTGTTGTGGGGAAAACAGGAGGAAGCAGTGTTAAGTATATCACGGCCTTTAGTCACTTATCAATTAATAAAGGCAGGATAAAAATATGTGTGCATACAAGCAATTTCCCCATTTTTGGTTTTCCATGTAGTGGGATGAGAGGATTTTTTTTTTACTGCAGTGTTTGCAGCAACTTAGAACAAGCCAATGATCCTGGATTTTGGCATTTCAAGGGTGGCAGATATGAAGACAGATGGGAATAATCTTAATTGGCTTAGCAGGAATTGGAGTGGAAACAATGGTAGCTTAGAAACCCTCTTTGTGGCTGCTTTTATATCCAAATCAGGAAATACTGTCGGTTAACAAAAGCAGGCAGCATTCTGCTCAAATCATAATTTAATTTATAGTCTGCTAAATTTGCTAAACCTAACCTCACTGTGGCTAATGCGCCATGTGAAATACACCGGAGTGAAATTCAATTCACTTCATGAATTGCACAAAATAGTTAAACTGATACAGGGTTTAAATTGGAATGATACAGGCAGAAAAGACTAGCTAGTTATGCAGATGCAGATTACATGTGAGACAAACGACAAATTTGTTAACTGTAATGTATTTTTAAAAATCCAGTGTCTTTGTTGAGAAACAAAGTTTGAGAAACTTGTTGATGTATTCAGCATGTCTTGCTCAATTGTGGACTATACTGGTAAAGTTTCTTTTTTTCAAAAAATGGTTTATTTTGTGATGGAATATCCTAGAGGCTTAAACTGTTCAGACACCACTTCATCCTTGTTTTGAAACTAATATCAAATTTGTGTGTTTTCCAAATAGCATTGATTTCTGGTGATTGCCTATAGTTGTATTAGTAAGATTACAGAAGCCCTTATTTGTTTCCTAGGGCTGAGAGAGAGTGACTGACTCAACATCGTCCAGCTGGCTTTGTGCCTAAAATGGGATTAGAACTCCCAGTCTCCGGGGGTTTCTAGCCAGGTGTCTTTAACCACTGCCACTTGTGGATTTCAACTCCCATAATTTTCCAGTCAGCCATTTGGAATGGCTGGCTGGAGAATTCTGGGAATTGAAGTGCATAAGTCTTAAAATTGTACAACCTTGACAATTTTTAGACTTGTCGACTTCAACTCCCAGACTTCCCTAGCCAGCCATGCCAAATTGCTGATTGGGAAATTCTGGGAATCGAACTCCACAGCTCTTAAAGTTTCCAAAGATGGACATTCCTACTGACTAAACCAAACTGGCTCTCTTCATAGCAAACTAGTGTCAATTAATTATTTTGCACCAAGTTTACTGTTTTCCCTACATAGAATCCAGCAGGGCACTGTTGGCAAATGGCATATGCCACATAGGATGATGCTCCTCTGAATTCTATGTAGGACAATGTGGCACTTTCTATGCCTTTATTTATTCTATTTGTTGCAAATGAAAACTGGTACTAATCTTGGGGATTGACCCTATTTGTATTGTTTCTGTATTAATATTATTGCTTTCTGTCTACTTTTTACTTATCATTTTACTTATTTTAGACCTACAACCATTTATATGAGGTTTACAATGGAACAGAAAGAAGTGTCTAATGACCGTTTTCACACTTACATCCATTGCAGCATCCTAGTGTCACATGATCAAAATTCAAAATGGCAACTGGCATGTATTTATTATGGTTGCAGTGTCCAAGGGTTATGTAATTATCTTTTGCGACCTTTTAACAAGCAAATCAATGGGGAAGCCAGATTCACTTCACAACCGTGTTACTAACTTAACTGCAGTGATTCACTGAATATCTGTGACAAGAAAAGTGGTAGAATGGGGCAAAAGTCACAAACTGTCTTGTTTAGCAATGGCAATTTTGGGCTCAATTGTGGTCATAATTCGAGGATTTACCTGTACACCTACATAAGTCTTTCCTGTCCTAAGGGCTGTAATAAAGGTTCTGTCTGTTAATAGAACACACCTCTAATATTATATCATTAAATTGATTCACACTGGCATGATGATTGTCAGGGTATATTTATTTTATTTACATTGTACATAGCATCATAGCAACAAAAAAAACCTAACAAATTAGCAATAGGAATACATGCCAAAGTACTGAAAGCACACAATAGCTACAATACACTGCAGTAAACCAGGATCACAAATTTCCATCGCCAGCTTCAGACAATGTGTAGATTCTCTAATGACTGCATCACACACACACTGGGTTTACACACCACACAACGATCAGTGGGAAGTTAACTGTTGCGTAAAACCAACCTGTATGTCTAGTTTAGTCTTTCAGGGAAATTTACAAAACCGGGCTATAGGCATAAGCAGGCGTTCTCTTCATCCAAAGTTAAAGCTCCTTAGCCTAGAGACCTATCTAGTGCACGCGCTTGCGTCGCGTTCGCTTTCCAACAGGGAGCGCTGCAGGTTTTCCGCACCACAGAAGGAAACCGCGCTTGAGTACCGCTGGAGTACGGCGCGTTGGGGAGGAAGGGGGAGGGTGGGAGAGAGGGGGTGGGGTGGAGAGAGAATTGTAACGCAGGCGCATTGCGGTCTTCCCTCTCGCGAGGCTTGAGCCGCAGCTTCTCGCGCGCTTTGCAAGATGGCGGCTTTCCGAGAGTGGTTCACATTGTGCAGCTTGCCCGGGACTCCCCCTCAGGCGCCGCTGGGATTGGAACCGGACGAGGACCGGGTGCTGGTCACGGATCGAGGCCGGACGGTAACGCTGTATAAGGTAAAGGCAAAGCCACTGGGGCAAGGCGAGAGGGCCGATGCTGGCGGTCCTGGGGTTCTGCGGCGAGGGAGGGACGGGGTAGCACAAGGGCTGCTGGAAAGGCGAGCGTGGCGCGGAAATCCTGGCGGCGGCGTTAGCAGCAGCAGCAGCAGCAGAGAGAGGATTTTCGGTGTCTCTTCGCGGCCCGGATGCGACGTGTGCGCCCCTTTTAACGTGGCCGAGGGAGCCCGCCCGGGTTCTTCGTGCGCAGCCTCGTGCTTGGGAAGCAGCGTCCCAGTTATGTGACCCTGCAGGGGCGATGCGGGTTTGGTGTCCGGTCCCCGTGGAATACCCGAAACCTAATCTGTTGCGACCTTTTTAAATCTGTACTTACCACTTATCGTCCTGTAGAGGGTATTTCTCCTCTCTGCTTTGAAGATTTCTCGGGATGCCTTCTTGGCTTGTTCCCACGTGAAATGACAACTTGAAGCCGCTTCTGTTGGACTGGGGATTCTGGGCACCGAAGTCCTGGGCTTGGGGAAGGCGACAGTTGCGGTCTGTGACAATTCGCCATGGCCAACTTGCCATGGCCAACTCGCTGCAAGACAACTGACCAAGGCCATCTCGCCTCAGGACAACTCGGTGTGGGACAAGAGTTACACTAATGTCAAAGAAATGGTGAAATAGAATCATGAAAGAAAGGAGGGACAGAATGAAATGTGAATGACAAACATTAAAATATTTTTTATTTATTTTAAATCATTAAATAGAATTGTTAAATTGACCCATAGTGAGATGTCCCACAGCGAGTTGGCTGTGATGAGTTGACCATGGTGAGTTGGCTGTGGCAAGTGGTCCCATTTTCCACTACAGGTAGTTCTCAACTTACAACAGTTCATTTAGTGACCAAAGTTACCACTGCACTGACGAGTGATTATGACCGTTGCAGCATCCCCGTATTCACTTGATTTACATTTGAATTCTTCATAACTGGTTTATATTTATGACAGTTGCCATGTCCCATAGTCACGTGATCCTCTTTTACGACCTTCTGACAAGCAAAGTCAGAAAAAAGCCAGATTCACTTCACAACCGGGTTACTGATTTAACAAAAGTCGTAAAATGAGCAAAATTCACTTAACAAATTTCTCACTTACCAACATAAACTCTGGCTCAATTGTGATAACAAGTAGAGGACTATTTGTATTCTGCATACAGGCACACAGATGCATACCATTTATTCTAATTTTTAAATTTTTTAAAGATGTTTTAGCATTGTTTTTAACCAATATTATAAGGCTTTGCAGCTTCAAACGATCAAAATTTGGACACTTGGCACCTGGCATGTATTTAAAACGCTTGCAGTGTCCCAAGGTCATCATCATTTGTGACCAGATTTACTTAACAACTGGGTTACTAACTTAATAAATGCCATGATTCACTTAACAGTTGTGATGAGAAAAATTGTAAAATGGGGCAAAACTCACTTAATTGTCTTGCTCAGAAGTGGAAATTTTGGGCTCAATTGTGGTTGTAAGTTGAAGAGTACCTGTATGGCCTTTGCTTTCTTTAATCTGGTTCTTGAAATATTGTTTTCTTCAATTAGACCAGAGATTCATGCAATGGGCCTTTGTAAAAACGTCAGAAAATGGTATTGAAATGCATAAAATACACAGGCAAAGATTGTAATATGAAAAAACTACTTATACTCAAATATAATTCTAATAATTTTAGATAGTGGGATTTACTGAGGCTCACATTTTGGGGCTTATTTTGCCTACATTCATGCAAACTAAAGTTGTCAATGAATGCAACTGGGCATATACTAACCAAACAATCTAGCCTGGATACTAGAAGTCTCCAAGATACTTGCAAATTGATATCCTTAAGAGATACAGCTCTTAAATAGTTTAACAATTAAATTCTATAAGGAATTAAAAAGTAAAATGAAAGTTAGCATTAGTTATGTATCTGAATTGTGGAATAATTTTGAAATACCCATTTTGAACACAGTCGGGTCCAGATATTATGTAAAATAAAATAATATATCTTATGATTCTTACAATTTAAAAATTAATCCATATTTCATTTTTATTAAATGTTTCAAAATGATATTGATTTTTTTCGTAGTAGCTCCAAATCATGTACTTGAACTCAGAATCATGTGATATTTTATTCTGGTTTCCTTAATTACTGCTGTGTTACTGAGCAGCCCATTTTATTTGGATCTTTCTTTTTTTTCAAGGTATCTGATCAAAAACCACTGGGTTGCTGGTCAGTCAAACAAGGGCAAACAATTTCATGTCCAGCCACATGGAACTATGAAACAGAAGAATTCATTCTTGTTCATGATGACAAGGTATGATATCTAATCCATATGATTGTGGGCATAAACCAATTTTATCAGTGTTTTATTGAACCATATCAGAAGTTAATGATAGGTTTTATTTAAAGTTTGTTTCCATTTTCTAGTACTTTCCCTTTCTAGGAAAGATGAAAAGAGAAAAGGAAATGCCTATGTAAATAAATATGTTGTGACATTGCATGCTGTGGGTATGCTTAAAGTGTCGTCTATGTTTCCATTGAGTTGATATTTTATTCCTTAGTAAAGTGAAGTTGAAATCCTAGATAAGAAACAAAATGTTTATGGGAATGAGTTCTCTTGTCTAGGAAGTCAGTAGAAGAACAAAAAGCAAAACTGCATCTTTATCTCTTTGCCTGTCTTTCATGCGTTTAATTCATGTATGTATTGGATGCCGCTCCAGAATATATAGGCAACATGGTGACTCAATGATTAAAGATGCTGGACTTGTCAGCTGGAAAACCAGCAGCCCAAATTTGAGACCCAAGCACCATGCGATGGGGTGAACTCCCATCCTGCTGACCTGGCAGTTCGAAAGCATGCAAATGCGAGTAGATAAATAGGTAACCCTTTGGTGGGAAAGTAACAGTGCTTCGTGATGTCATTCTGGCCATGTGACTGCAGAAATGTCTTCAGGCAATGCTGGTTCAATGGCATTGAAACAGAGAGGAACACCACCCTCTATAGTTGGCAATGACTGGCAGAGTAAAGTCCATGGGGACTCCTTTATTTTTACCAGGGTATGTGTGGATATATTTCAGTTCTTCAGCCAAGTACTTTTGTGTGCCATTAAAATCAAATACTTCAAGATTGATCATCTTAAATATATCTCAAAAGCATTTGATTTTCTCCAAGCTTCATGAGGGATAGTTAGCAAACACTTCATTGTGATCTTTTTAAAATGGTAATTCTGTAAATTTTAAAAGGTTTTACAGATCTGGAAAGAAGATGATACTGACTTGGATAAAGTTTTTAAAGCCACAGTAAGTACTGATAATATATTTTAAAGTAATTGTTTCGTGCAGCTGAACCCTGAATTCAACAAAAGATTCTAGTAAAGGAAGTTGTGGATTTTTGCTTGCAATGATTATTTTTAGTTATATTTTTCCTTCAGTTCAAAACCTGCTGTGGAGAAAAGCTGTTCATATTATGCAGAATTGTGTAGAGAATTGCAGAGTTATCAGGAATCAGTAAAATGACAATTTTTCTTTCTCCTCTCCCTTCCTTTGCTGGTCCATGACCATAAAACTGGTTTATTTTTTTACACATCACAGTGGGATGTCCTTCATCAAAACAGGGACCTAAAGACCAGATTAAATAAAGAAGCGGATCAGCTCAATTGAGTAGGATCCTTTTGCCAGTGAAGATTCTTTCTATCCTTCCTTCCTTCCTTCCTTTCTTCTTTCAAATCATAATCAGATTTGTTTTCCTGAAACAAGAAAATATTTCCATTTTGGAAAAGTGAATGAAGAGCAAGTGACATGAATCTTGTGCAGATTCACTTATCTAGAGAATTGGAATGAAACTTATTACCCTGCTCATTAGGAGCATAAGATTATTGAAGCTGGATGAAGAAAAATTATCATTTAGAATAAATATTTATTTTGACAATAAATATTTCATTTGTAGCCATACGTATATATGAGTATATGTCTCATTTCATTTTTTAAAAAATTATCTTTCAGCTATCATCAGATGTATATCGGATACATTCATTACCACACACTGAGCCCTTAGTTCTGTTCAAGGGTGGAGCTGTTAAAAATTTGGATGCTTTGCTAGCAGATCCAAAACAAGAAGTTGAAAATGTTATTTCTAATGAAGTTATTAGGTGAGTGCCATTCCCTGTAGTAGCTTTAAAATTCAAAATGTAAGTAGTGATCCTGATATTTCATCATTTTGAATCCCTCAAAAGAAGGAATTGAGATTCTTTCCTTGCTTGAATGTAATCACAGAAGATTCCTCTTCTTTCTGCTAAATCCCCATGATATTACCTTATCTTGACCCCAATCCATAACATACAATGCTAGGTAGTTGCAATAATGTCCGATACTTTATTTGATTGCATTTTCCCCTATAGCGATAACCATGTATTTTATTTTTAGGTGGAGCAATGCTTTAATTGGAGTTGAAAAGAGAGTTATTTTATTTATTACTGAGCAGGTGAGTGTTATAGATAGTTGTAGTCAAATGATAGATACTTTATGAATTTGGCAAGGCTGCTGTTTCTAGTAAGATAATAGCTGTATGTTCCATTCTTGATGTATTGTTTTATTATTGATGTATCTTTCATTTATATCAGTGCAGTAAGTGTTGTGACAGAGTTCCCAGTCCTTGGACATTGGTATAAAAATGTTCAGCTCTATTTCTCATTATCAACAGATACTGACTTTCTGAAGGCTGAATAGTATTAATTTAATCACCAGAGACATATTTGAGAACTTTGTTTTATTTCTTTATTTTTATTGCATTTATATCCTGCTGCAGTCAGATGACTCTTGGAAGTTTTATGAGGACTAAAGATTTGATCAAATGTTCAGATAATCTATAATAATCAAGTGTTTCTTCATTTTTTAAAAATTCAATGTCAGTGTTACAGATCTGATCAACTGACCTCTCTGGAAATATTAATGTGCACTAGATAATTAATTGAATATTTTTAAACAATATAGTGAAGCAGTCTTCAAATGTAGAAAAGCTATTTTCTGTTATTGAGCACCGTAATTTACCAGATTGAATTTTTAAGAAATTATTCTGCTAAAATACCATATTTATGAACCAGGCCTTGTCTTGGGCGGAAGAGGATAGAATTTTTCTGTTTGGTTCATCTTCCTGATTCTTACAGATACAAAGATAAAAGAAACTTTGCAGCTAGTTCTTGACTGATGTCCACTTGTTTGGCAACCCCTCAAAATTACGATGATACTGGGGGAAAAGTTGACTTACAACTAGTTGATCATTTAACAACCATTGCAGTTAACTGCAGTCACATGATCACTATTTGTAACCTCCCAGCTGGCTTCCAACAAGCAAAGTTGATGGGGGAAGATTTGCTTAACAGTCACATGATTGCTTAACTACCATGGTGATTCCCTTAAGATCTGTGACCAAAAAAAAAGGTAATAGGATCAATGTTCCCTCTAATTTTTTTTCAGTGTGTGCGGAAAAGTCTAGTGTTTGAGCGGCACATTATCATGCCTGAGCACCCGAAATTTTTTTTAGCCATAATTGCCTTCAGAGCAGATGTTGGGATGGGGGGCAAGGAGGAAAAGGGTCCCCTCCCTCTCCCTCATACCCCCAGGAAGGGAAGGAAGGGGGAGGGAAAGGAAAGGAAATGGGAAAGAAGGAAAGGAAAGGAAATGGGAAAGAAGGAAAGAATGAAGGGAGAGAAAGTGAAGGAAAGGGAAAAGAAAAAAAGAAAAGGAAATAAGGAAAGGAAAAGAGAAAGGAAAGGAAATGGAAAAGAAGGAAAGGCGAAAGGAAATGGAAAAGAAGGAAAGAAAAAAGGAAAGGAAAAATGAAAGGAAATGGAAAAGAAAGAAAGGGAAAGGAAAGGAAAATAGAAGGACAGAAAAGGAAATGGAAAAGTGGAATGGATTGGTACTGCTCAAAAATCAAGTTTCAAGATCTCGTGGACCCCTTTGGCTCAGGCAGTCCAACTCCACGCTGCTTTCCTCTCTCCGCAAAGCGAAGGCATTGCAGAAAGACTGCCGAGCCCAGAACGGGACTTCAGATGACGCAATGCCTGAGAAACCCCGGATGTGCAGAGAAACACAGGGTACAACCCGCGAATCGCGTTTTCCCAGGAACCGACGAAGCCCCAGAGGACCAATGGAAATTCTCCCTTCTGCAGCGTCATCGGTCTCCGGGCAGTCTTCCTTGATTTCACCAATCACCAGATGGAGAAGAGTTCGGTGCAGAGAGAGAAGGGAGAGAGGGGGGGATATTTTCAGTCGTATTTTAAGACATTAAAAAACTGTGGGGCAGTTTGAAACTTCTGCGCGGTGTTTTCTTGTTACGTGCATGGCTACGCAGCCACACAGTGTAGAGGGAACATTGAATAGGATCAGGCATGACGTATTTAACAATTACTTTGCTTAGCAATGGAAGTTCCAATCCCAATAATAGTCATTGGTCAAGGAGTACCTATACATTGTTTAGACTGTTTTTCTTTGACACTGCTTTTTTTATAATGACTATATTGGCATGTGTTTCCCATTGGATTATCATTTCTGTTATTTAATTGGGGTTTCAGTTACTTTGGGTATGTGATGTAAACTATTATCTTCCTTTTGTGATACTTTATTGAGATAGATGTGGATATTTTAAAAAGCCTTTATTTTCAGGATGGGAATTACTTCATATATGTGCAGCATTGCAATCCATATACCCTTCAGAAGTTTAAATTTGAACAAGGAGTTGGGTCATCTACTCCGTTGAGTTTTGCGGCATATTTGAAAAACAAAGTTATCACACTCTTTTGCTTGTGTAAGTATAACTGTATTTTCCAATTTTGTTTTTAAAGCAGAGTCCCAGTTTAATATATCATAGACAATGTTACTTTAGATACCAAAAAAGCCCTGAGTGTGTGCTTTGTGTATTCTTTCTGCTTTATCAGTCAGTAGTTATAAATGGTCTTATTTTCTGTTACAGTCACTTAAGCATATAAAATGCATTTAGTTCTGGACACTATGATTAGATTTACACATGATGCTAAACATTATTTTAGTAGTCTTGGGCCTTTGGGGAAGTCATAATGATCTGGTTCACACATAACATTAAACATAAACTATGGTTTACAAATTACGCCAGCAGAATTCCCATATACCAAGCAAGAAAGAAGATATAGTGCATGATATGGATCAATATTACAAGACAATAGTATTTATTTTACTTTTAATTGCTGCTTTAGATATTAAATATTTAAAGCTGCTTTAGAATCTCTGGGAGGAGGTATGTAAATGTTTGGCCAGCTATATTACTATAGGGTTTTACCATGAAACACATGGCAGGGAAATACATTTTTTCAGCTCTTGGAAGTACTCTGGCAAGTGGCATACATATTATTTTTAATTCTTTGATTATAATTTCTTAGCTTAGGCTTGTGTAGTGTATACATGCACTACATACTGTAGGTCACTCATAGCAGAGGGAAGAAAAGGGATGGCTATACCAATGGACGAAGTTCATAGATCTGTATTAAGTGTCAGTTCTAGTTTTCATATTATTGTAAATCAAGATGTGACTTGATTTTGTACACAGATTCCAATGGCTGTGTGTATAAGATTCTGGTGCCGCTACAAGAGAGTAAAACAGCAGAAACACAGATTTTACCAAAATCAATTCTACTCAGACTCAGTGTGGGTGGAAATATTCTTAAAGGAACTTCAATTGTGATTCTTGATGAAGACCATATTGCTGTAACAGGAGGCCTGGATTCCTCAGAAAGTAATGTCAAAGGTAAACCATTGAACAATTGGACTAAAATAACTTAGCTTAAGAATTGGATCAAAACAAAAGGAAAACATCCAAGAGACATTTGGAAAAGCATTAACAATAAGGACCTCAAGTTACATTGTTTGCAACACAAAATGTAGAATTAAAAAATAATGGAACCTGATTGGAACTTGCTGATAATCGTCAACAATGAAGGAAGTCAGGGAAGATTCTATAAGGTGGTAGAAAAAGAGATATGGATTATTTTGATCTGATAACTCATGTTTAATGAGACACTGATTCCATAAAACATTATTTGAATATTGTTTTCTTTCCAATGCTCTAGTGTAGACCTGGGCATTTTGCAATCCACAACCACATCTGGCCCCTGGGCAATCTGAGTTGCCCACACTAGTGGAGAGGGGCCATAGTGTCAGCAACAGCAGGGATAGTGGTGCAGCATCTTGGGGGAAGGGGGCAGGGCATCAGTCATCCACACTAGTCTCAGTTTCTCATGTGGCCTCTGGGGAAATTGATTGCCCGTCTCTGCCCTATTGAAATGAGACACTTGATTATTAATAGCATTCAACAAGAATGATCTGATGTGTTAATTACTTTGGGGACACGGTTTATTGCCAGAATACTTTTAATTAGTTTCCAAGTGACATTTTATAAATGAGAACTATGCATATGTAAATCGCACACAGTTTGATAAATTTTGTCTTTCCTCTTGGTAGACTGCTTTTCAATATGGAATATTAAGTTTCAAACTCTGGAAGCATCAAAAGATTTGCCACAAGGAACAACAGGACAAGTAAGCTGAGACCAGTTACTTGATTTTAACATATCTATAGCAATTCTGTCATAATAGAAATCCATGCTTATTAAGAAGAGATGGTTTAAGTCAGTGTTTTAAATTTTTCCCATTTTGCCAATAAATATATTAAGCCATTAGCATAAGTGAATCTCAAGCCTAGGTGCGCCTTTTTCTTATTTTGCTAATAGAGAATAGAACAGCACAGCATACTTTATTTGGCTAAGTATGGTTAGGCACAGAAATAATTTGTCTCCAGTGCAGAAGCTCTCAATATACAGCAGAGTAATAATAATCTTATTGATACCAATAAGAGAAGGTAGTAGAAAAGATGAGAAGGATAATAGTAGTACAGCCATATTGCATGGGTAAAATATACATAAGACAGTATTGTGGGAATTAGGTGTTCAGCACAGTGATGACACAAGGGAAAAAAACTGTCCGTGTCTAGTTGTTTTGGCATACAGTGTCCTGTAGCAGCATCTCGTGGGGAGGAAATGAAACAGTTTACATCCATATATTTGGAAGTGCTTTTCTGCATTCTATTTTCTTTATCATTTGGATTCAGAATTGTTATTAAGTTTTGACTTTGAATGCACTGGATTATAAAACACATTTAGGATATGAAAGGATAGGATAGAATAGAATAGAATAACCGAGTTGGAAGGGACTTTGGAGGTCTTCTAGTCCAACCCCCTGCTTAGGCAGGAAACCCTACACCGCTTCAGAAAAATGGTTATCCAACATCTACTTAGTTCTGAGTTGCTTTTCTCTTTGATTAGTTTCCATCCATTGCTTCTTGTTCTACCCTCAGGTGCTTTGGAGAACAGTTTGACTCCCTCTTCTTTGTGATAGCCCCTAAGATATTGGAGCTCTGCTATCATCTCCCCTAGCCCTCTTTTCATAAGACTAGACATATCCAGTTCCAGAAGCTGTTCTTCATGTTTTAGCCTCCAGTCCCATAATCATCTTTGATGCTCTTCTCTGCATTGTTTCTAGAGTCTCCACATCTTTTTTACATTGTGGTGATCAAAACTGAATGCAGTATTCCAAGTATGGCCTTAACAAGGCATTATGAAGTGATATTAACACTGTTTATGCAGCCTAGCATTGTGTTGGCTTTTTTGGCAGCACTATTTGCCTCACTTAGAAAAAAAAATTATCCGTTTGCTGCACTAAATCAGATGTTTTATATATAAAACTCAAGGTGTGTAAACCCACAACAACGCTTCCAAAGTCAATCAGTCACCCAGAAGACAGAGGGAAACGCATTATACATTAGTTTTGCCAAGGGTTATCCTATCAGAAACCTCTGTGTCCCATGGGGGTTACAAAATCATAGCTGTGATCTTTCAAATGTTTTAGCAAAATACAATTTTTAATTTGATTGATGAGGGAAATAGTTTAATATATGGGGAATTAGCACATTTAATATATTTAATTCAGTAACTGTTAATTGAAAATAAATTAAATCAGCTTTCACTTTGCCATGGCTTCATCATTTTTTAGAGAGTGCTGCTATCAGGATTCCATTCAAAATCAAATACAGCTTGATAAAGGTTGTTTATCCCATGTGAATATAGCTGTTATGTAATGTAACAAAGCGGTGAATTTCATTATTTTATAAAGTGAAATTTGACGGGTTAGACCAAGCATCGTCCCAACTCAGCTTTTCAGATTATTTTTGCTAACTAATAGGCAAAATGAGCAATAAAAGGATGACTATGAAGGGTATTTCCCTGAGCAGACAAAGAATTAAGCCTTACTTGAATGAGTCAAGGATGACTGAGACACTTGGCATTGAAGAAAGACATGAGTGGTGGAGGAAAAAATTAAAAAATAATTACAATTAATATAAGGACAATGTAAACTGAAAAGCAAGGACCTGGGTTTCATTCAGCATAATGCTCTTAAATTAGATCTGTTAAACTATTAATTCACATATTATCTACGTGTGTTGGGGTTAAAATGGAGAAGGGATCTCAATCAGTGGTCTTTTTACAGGAATCATACATCAGATAAGATTTTAAAAGATTTTTTTGGTGGGAGGGCCTAGCAAGTCAAAAGGGGTAGCCATTTTATTTAAAACCAATACAGATTTTTGGTGATAACAGTATAACATTTCCCTCCCTCCCTCCCTCCATATATGTATGTATGTATGTTTGTATGTTTGTATGTTTGTATATATGTATGTATGTCAAATTCACATAACCACCGTAATACTAATTTAAGAATTGCAGTTATTCACTTAACAAATTTGAGAAAAGTTGTAAAATGGGACAAAATTCACTTAACAAATTTCTTACTTAGCCACATAAATTCCTGGCTCAATTGTGGAAAGTCGAGGACTACCCGTAGTAACTTTTAGGACAGGTTGTAAATCATTTTTCCCAAGACCATTCTAACTTTAAATCATCATTAAACAATTTATAAATTGTGGACTAATGATATTTGGGGTATTAAGCATCAATTAACAAAACTTATTTATTTGCTCCAATAATTTTGGGCTTTAATTTGAATGTCAAAATCCAATTTATTTAATTCTAATTTGCTATATAATTCCAAATAAAATGTTTGCCCCAGAATGTGGGCAATCTTTTTCCCCCAAAGTGACATCTTTATGATTGTTGACTATAAAATGGGACACCATGAAGGCAATTACAAGAAGAATGTTTTTAAATCAAGTAACAGAGTTTATCAGAAATCTACGATGATGAATGTATTGCATTCCAAAATTAAGTATTTGTGGATAGGTTATAATAAAGCCTACTGTGTTAGTATCTACAGATATTTTTGGAAAGTGATAAGAACAACTCCTACATAATATTAGCCAAAAGATTTTGTGAAATAAAATCCTAGAGCAACAGAACACCAATATTGGAAGGAGCTGGCCTAACTAATGGGTTCCATAGATGTTTCTGGTACAGAAACAGTAATGTCAAGTACAAGCAACCAGAGCCGCCCATGAAGAACTATAAGCAATTTTATTGTTCTCTATCCAAGTTACAAGAATCTCCCCTGGGAAGGACCAGCTAAAACTTATGGTCTTGATCTTATGGGAGATCAAGCTTATGCAACTGTGCAAAGATTCCAAGCTGGGTCCCTGCTTGATTCCTCCATCCAGTCTTGCTGGCAGTTTCCCAACACAAAATAGGATAAAAACCTAAAAGTACACATTATAAGACAAAGCTTGATAAAAGTATGCACCTCTATAAGGAAAATAGTAAATCCAAATATATCACTATTAGCTTCTCACCTAAATGGTTTTCATGTTGGAAATAATTACAGTAAGAAAAGTGTAAATTGCATATCCAAAAATGGTCCACTCAGACCCATGAATAAATTAAAGACGAAGTAAAGATTACTGGGCAAAGGCTGGAATGTACCATGGCTGACATATCTAAAAGTTGCTGGAAGAATGAAATCTGGCCTCAAAAAGGAAAAAATGTTCAATACTAAAAAATTAAAAGAAGCATATCTAAGCCTCAGGAACAAGGAAAGTGGATAGTTCCATTTTCAAATTACATTATTTTGGAGGCAAGTCATTTTGGACAATTATCTTCATAATTTGAATATTCAGCAAGGCAATGGATACAGCTACAAAATATATAGAAGGCAGAGCCATAAGCCATTTTTTCCTACTTTAAAAATATTTTTAAAATTGTATAATATAATATGTCAAAAAAAGCTACATTTTGGGTCTGAAAAAAAAGACATGCAACTTTGATAATGGGCATCTCCCTCCTAAGCCTTTTATTGATACTTTATATCCAGGATCCTGTCATTAGGACAGGTAACAATCGAAGACTTAAATCCCAGTTTCAATAGAGCAAGATACTACTGCGGTAATAAGAGACCAGGTAATAATGAAGAGATTGAGTTGCAGATAGCTTTCCTTCTCTCCTGGCTAACATAGCTCCATCCATGTATGATGCCATACACTAAACAAACAAACATAGCTCCAATGTAAATCCTTTCTGATTAAAATGAAATTAATTTAATGCATTTAAATGATTTACAAAAAAACATTTTTATTTGCTCCTCTATCCACAGTAGAGATTAAACAAATAATGTTAAAATTGGCAAGTTGCAAAACACCAGGCAAGATGGGTTCCTTTTCTAGTGTATAAAATATAGAGGTCGCATTTTGTTATTTAATTTCTTCTGAAAAGTTAATCATTAATTACTCTCTCCAACCCAAAGGCACCTTCAATTATTATAAAAAATATAAAAGTTGAAAGTCTATATATTCACTAACTATTTCTGCCTAATATATAAAAACTATGTGTATTTCTTTATTTCAGTGTTGGGCTTACAATGATAAGCTATTCATAATACACGGCAGAGAATTAGAAGTAATCCTATACAAGTGCAAAACATCCTCTTTGGCTGCTGCAGTTGGAAAAAGCAAGGATACATATGTTTCTGGTAGGAATTTGACTGCAATATTTTTCAATTATAGCAATAGCAGTAGCACTTATGTACAGCACCCTCTGAACAGTTAAAAACAGTTAAAACCAAAAGAATTTATATTATGCTTTGCTTATTAGTATAAGGCATAGTTGAGTAGTGTGGTGGCCTAGAGGTGAAGATGCTCACCTCCCATTCAGAAGGTTGAGAGTTCAATCCTAGGTAGCAACAAATGTTCCTTTATCAGGATACAAGGAAAAGATATCTGCTGTGAATGCCGCATAGGCATCAAGAAAGGCATCTGAGCCGTAAACCCTCAGCTCCATTTAGTCTCCCTGACTTCACCCCAATAAAAGGGATTACAGGGTCATAAAGAGGGGAAAAAATTAGAAGGCCTAGTTCTCAGGCTTTTTAGTACTAAAGCTATAATGACTTCCTCCAAGTTCTAAGAATGCAATTAATAAAACTGGTGACAATTTTCCTGCTTATTTCTTAAATATAACCAACTGTAATATTTATTAGTCAATTGAAAATTCTGAATTGATTTTAAAATGCCCCAATAAAACGGTTTCTTAATGATTGAAGTTCATCTGTGTTTATGGTTCTTTAAATGATAAGGAAAGGGAGCTACTGACCAGATTACAACTTAAAGGGGAGGAGAAATTTGCACTGTGGAAGAAGAGAACAGGCAAATATGAGGAAGTTCATGCAGGACTTTGAAGCTGTGGGAGGCCAGCATTAAAAAAAAAGGACTGGGCAAGCTTTAAAAATGTTTCAGAAGAGGTATTCTAGAATATGTGGGAGTGCAGCACCTTTTTAAAAGTACCCACATCATTTTTTAAAGGACAGACAGAACCCTGAAGGAAATTGCATGTTTAGTTTTTAGGACCAAGGTCTATTTCTTGCTGCTTATATTTCTTTTAACACTGCAGTATTATTTCTACTAAGAATCAGGGGAAAGAATCCAATTAAATAATACAGGTAATCTTCTATAAGGTGAAAGAATATCTAATTGAATATTTTCTGAATGACAAAATGCAGGCTCTTTAGAACTGGATGACAGAAATTTTGTCATCACAGGATCCTAAATAAAAACTTTTTGAAACATATGATCAAAATGTATATTTTCTTGTACATTTTTGAGTCAGAAGATGAACAAATTGCCAGAAACCTGGCTGTTTGCGTTGGGGGTGGGGGTGGAAAGAAACATAACAAGAAATATTTTGCATTCTTTGAAATAAAATTCTTTTCCAGAAATGAAAACTCTGCCTGTTGATTGGAATAGGCTTCAGGAAGATGGCATAATCTGTGCCGAACCTGATAAAGCTGCTAAAGATGAATCTAAGAGGCTGGTATGTTTATTTTGATGTGATTATTTTTAATTACCTTTCCTATGTGTATAATACAATTTCTTATATATATTCAGCCCAGTATAGATTATTAATATTCTGATTTTGCTGAATGATAACAAGGTCTCATGAAGTTGCATGGCCCTTAAATTGAATGGTTGAATTAATACTAAAGTAATATGGCATTATGTAATTGCTTTTTTTCAACCTTTTTGATTTCTGAAAGGTTTTTCTTCAGATGACTTGAAACAAAATTAATCATTTATGCTCCCTAAACTTGATGTGAAAAATTATGACCAGTCAAACCTTAATTAATTTCCATGTAGGCTAAGCCTGGTAATTAACTTCTATGATGTACATACTCATTAACTCTATATTTTCAGACCAAAATATTTTATACTACTACCTTAATATTACTTTACCGATCACTGCATAGTGGAATCCACAATTAATAGCCATCCGCTTAACCCTAAAAATTCTCAACTGCTTTTGTTAATTGTCCAGATTTGTGTAAACAGTGGTGGATGATGTGATTGTGTTTTCCCCACAAAGGGCCAGTGTGCCACCTTGTGGATGGACAGGAAAGCATACATTTTAATGGCATTAATGTGAGCTAGCATATTTCCATTTGTGTGTTTTTATCAGTATCAAGAAAGCTGAGTGCTCAGGCATGGCTAGCTGTTGCTTGGGTTAGTGATTATGGAGAATTAGCTTGAAAATGGAAGAAAAGAAAAATCTTGAGTTGATTTTTCTCCCTTGTGATGTTCTGAGATACAAAATTTATGAGAACAGAGCACTCTCTTTCTCTTACTTAAATGCAACTTCTTTCTCCAGGAATGTGCCCTTGATCTTACCTTGCATATGTTGAGTATACTAGCATTTAAAAGGTTCAAAATGTATGCATGTATATATCATTTGCCTTTATAGTAACATGTATTTCAACATTTTAAAAATGTATACAGTAGAAAATGGAATACAATTAACTAATGAATTATATCTCATAGCATTATTTCTGAGGCTATTTATTACCAACCCAGAGCATGAGTGTGTGTTATATGTGTGTTTGTATTGTTGTAGGAGAAGCATGTGACAATTACCAGGTAAATTAAGGAATATGTGACATTATTATGGTTGGTTGCATAATCAGCTGGCTGTTTAGATTGGAGCTGGTACTTGTATTCATTAAGTCCTCCCTAAGGATCTGGGATGGGCAGATGTTGTGAGTTGATGTTAAATGTTTCATTGCATTGATGTAAGCTGTTCCAAGTAAACTACCTTTTGCAATTTACTGATGGTGATTTTGTGCAAGTGGTGCTCCAGATGTTTGGGATTGCACCCAGGGCAAATCCACTATAAGTATTATCTTCATTTTCTTTTTCCATAGTTGTTCTACTTCTATTTGTAAGTCTTTGTATTTTGTGATTCTCTCCAGTTTTTTCTCTTCTGCTGTGCTGTCACTTCCACTGTCTAAACCTTTTTGTCTTTCTTTTCGATAGTTGTTAAGTCTGAGGTGTTAACGCAGCAGGTATCAGTGTGTTTGAATTCTAAGGTCTCTCGGCACCTTAGGTTCTTCATTTTCTAACATGTTTTCCCCAAAATACAACATGTCCTGATAATAAGGCCATGCCACATTTTTCGGGTGGGCAAAAATGTAAGTCCTCCCCCGAAAATAAACATTCTGGACAACCTCCCCCCCCTTTCCGGCCAGGCAAAGTGCCACTCATCGACCTAGTGGTATCCCGAAGGCGCCAAGCCACAGGAATGGGGTGGGAGGGCAAAGGATCGCGTTGCTTGGCACCTTCAGGATACCACTAGGTCAGTGAGTGGTACTTTGCCCAGCTGGAGAGGGAGTTGCCGGGCAGTTGCTCTCTTGCAAGCGGGCCCCCAAAGAGCCGGGCACAGCGTCAGGGTCGAATGGCTGGGTTGCGCTGTTGCAGCAGCCGAGCAACCGCCCAGCAAACCCCCTTTCTAGCCGGGCACAGTGCCATTCACTGACCTAGGGGTATCGCCAGGCCGCATAAGCCACCCTCCAGCTCCCACGGCTTGGTGCCTTCGGAATGCCCCTAGGTAAGTGAATGGTGCTTTGCATGGCTGAAGAGGGGGGTTGCGCGAGTGGCTTTTCCACTCCCCGCTCGTGTGCCTCCCAGCCTCACGATGCCCTTGCTTAACTCTCCCTGAAGAACCAGGGCATCTCTGCTGTCGTCGCTGCCTGGCTTTTTCTGCGGCTTCCAAAGCACGGAGGTAGAATGCTGAGTCTTCTAAAAGTTGCCATTCTGGGAATACGCTCTATGGTTGTACGCTCTGGGAATACGCTCTGCCGGCAGCCAGTCCACAATCATAGAGCGTACTCCCAGAGCGGCTGCTGCCTGAAGATTCAGCTGTGGATCTCCGGAGTTTGGAAGCCAGAGAATAGGTTATGGTCAGAGCGCCGCGGCAGCAGCACCCTGGCCCTGCAGGGAGAGCTGGACCAGGGCATGGTGAGGCTGGGAGGCACACGAGCTGGGGACGGAACAGGCGCTCGCGGAACCTCCCTTTCCAGCCGGGCAGAGCGCAATGCACTGACCTAAGGGTATCACGAATGCGTCAAGCCGCGTAAGCTAGGGGGGGAGGGCAGAGCACCACGCAGAGTAGTGCCTCTTGGGATATTACTGGGTCCGTGAGTGGCTCTCTGCCCGGCTAGAAAGGGGGGTTGCCGGGTGGCGGCTCATGAGCATGGTTACCTCATGGCTGGTATGTTGCCCTACTGCGACAGCGCAACAGAGCTGTTTGCCCTGAGGCTGTTCCTGGCTCTTCGGGCGCCCGCTTGCATGAGGGCAGCCACCCGACAACCTTAAAACAATAAGGCCCAATCAATATTTTGGGGGTCAAAAGAAAATAAGACCCTGTCTTATTTTTGGGGAAAGACGGTATTACTTTCTCTATTTTGTGGTCCCACCAATTCTTGCCTGCAAGCCAGTTATATTTCTTGCAGATATTCCAATGCATCGTTGTATTACTGTTGTTATATGATAAGGCTTTTGGCTCATCTAAGTATTTCTTGAGTCTTTTCTTGCCCTTTTTTCAACCTCCTTCATCATATAATTCGGGGTGGGGGGGCGTATTTCAGAAGCTGCAGAGAAAAATTCATGCAGCCAGCATGTTTGTGTTTAAAGGAGTATTAAAGTCACCCAACTTTAAAAGTGTCCCCAGCATGTTTTTAGGAAAAGCCTTCCATAGACTTTGATGGAAGTTTCTTTTCCCCTTCTTTAACAGCAGTAGAAGTTGTCATTTTGGAACCAATCAGCACATGGCAGTTCTTGATGGGATCACTAGGGGGCTCCCATCAATAGAAAGAAATAGCTGGATCATCTTTGAACAAGTGGAAAAGCTGTTCTCTCTTAATGCACCTCTGAAGCAGTTGCCATCAGCCCTCACACAAGTCTCTAATGTGGTTGCTAACCCAGGCTTTCTAGCCTTGATTCTCAGAACACCATTTCTTTTTTTCAAAACACAAAATGTATTAACTGAGCTGAGATATTCACATAAGATTCATAATCTTACAATGCAATTTTAATATGGTTTGTCACACAGCCAGATAGTCAGACTAGTGAGTCTTTCCCAAGGATCTGGGATAAGCAAATGTGGATATTTGATGATGTTACAGATACATTACTGCAGGATGTAAGCTGTTCTGAGTAAAGCTGCCTGTAGCAATTGACGGATGGTGACTTTGCCAGTGCCAGAGCACCCAAGGCACCTATTACTATTGCTTTCTTTTGCCACAGTTCTTCTATTTCTATAATATTTATATTATTTAGTTCATCTCAAGTCAGCCAGAAGTTCATATTGGATTTGGTATTTTTATCTACCTATCAAGTCCTTCCCAAAGACCTGGGATAGGCAAATGCTGATTAATTAATTATAGTGTAATAATACATAATATTCACATAATGTTGAAGATTTCTTCAGATTTTAACTTGTGTCCCTCAAACAATCCAGTAAGCAACATTTACTGATCTAATCCTAACCGGGAAGTTGTGAGGGAAGGGATGTTTTTGTTTTTTTGTGATTTTGACTCATTTTATAGTCCATGTACATTGTTTTCTTAGCATGATTTTTGGAAGTGGTTTGCTGTAGCCATCTCCCTAGGGTTGAGAGAGAGTGATTATCCCTAAGTCATCCAGGTAGTTTTATTCCTAAGGCAGCACTAAAACTCATACAAAACTCAAGTTATGACCATTTGTCAGCAACTGTTCAGAGTTATGACCGTGTTTAACAAGGGACTTATGATTGGTTCTCAAACTTTCCACTGTTGCACAGCCCCCAAGGTTACACAACTGCCAACCAGCTCTCATTTAAGAACGACTGCAGTGTCCTGTTATCATAAAATTGCCATTTGCAATCTTTCCTGCCAGTCTGCCACTAGCCAGGTCATTGGGGAAGCATGTAGGTAAGGTTGTGCACTTAGATAAATCTCCCCCTCCTCAGCCTGGCTTTACACACATGACACCCTCCTTTCCCCCCTTCACTCACTTATACACAGATCATCCTCCTTCATTCACACTCACAAACAAACATCCTTTCCAGGCCTCTTTGCTTTCTCATGCACTCACACCCTCTTTCCCTGGCCTTCCTGCATTTGCACTACACCCCAGCACCTCACTTTCTCAACTTCTGCATGACTTGTCCTGCACATCTCAGGGCCTAATTTTGGTTTGATGTATTAGAGGCATCCAAACCACAGCCAGTTCTATTAACGATTTCAGCATAATCTAACCAAGGCCAGCGGTGGCATCATATTTCTTCCTATTACACAGTTTGTTTTGCATCCATTCTGGAGCGTGAGTTTTTGTGGTATAGAAGGGACTCTTTTAAATGTATTTGTTAACATTTGTAGTGGGTAAAATCACTGCTGACATATGTGTTAAGAATGCCTGTATCAACCTTGAAGTGAGCCTGGCTGAAGCCAGCTTGGATGCTTCAGGTGATTGTCACACAACAGTGAGAGGGAAATAAATTATTAGATGGGATTTTGTAGCCAAAACAAAGTTTTCCTGTGGGAACTCAGGACATTCTCACAGGTGGCTGGCCAGAGGAGGAGCAAGTAACCAAGCGACTGGCCAGCATTTGGCTTGGACAGCTTGGAGGAACGGGACAACTTTTACTTTTAATCAGGTGGGAAATTTCAGAGTCGGCTTTCACCAGTTGTGCCAATATGATGTAGCCAATAAACTGTTCTTTGAGGAACTCATTTGCCTCAGAGTTCTGTTTTCTTTGGATGCATTACTTAGAATGCTGACAATCTGGGTCACATGATCCTTTTCATCAGATAATGTCTTTCTTGCCCAGATGGTACCTTCATAATAAATGAATCAGGGATTCCTGTTAGAATGGAGATCTCATTGAAGACATAATCTTGATTACTAGTTTTGAAAGAATGTTACCTACTTGTTTCAGAGAATCTTAATTTCTTTGTCAAATATTGCAGTTGAGATCAAGAAAGAATGCTCAAGAAGGTACCCTGACAGTGGAACAGCTTCTTAACATTATTAAGGTAATTATGAACACTCCGTATTGAAAACAAAGGGTGACGTGGCAATCTTTAGTGGCATTTTCTCTATGTACAAATACGTAGTGAAATGAGTTGTTAATTTGCAATTCTTTAACTATCAGCAAACCAAATTAAAGATGAATTTCATGATTATATTAATTAGCATTTTAAGTGTAATTAACAAATCTGGTCAGTGTGAATTAAGCTAGATACAGTTAAGTTTTGATTATTAGGGGTAAAATATTATGATACAGGATATAGTCAAATAAAGGAGGGATAATGA